TCCGCTGTCCCTTGAATGGCTCACATCAGGCAGGGAGATGCACCTACTGCAGTGTGTCTCCTGGAGGAGGGCTGTGGACAGCAAGCACATTTTCTAAAATGGACTAAAGTCTGCTCTGAAGGGAGAGGCAGAATAAGAGAACTACATTAAGTGGGCATTTAGTGCCATCCGTGAAAGGATGTCACCTAAATGAATAGGGAAATGAACATTCTCTCCTGCAATTGTGTCTCTCTGTGTAACACCTACAGTTCCTGCAGCAAGATGCCGTGGTGCTCACCAATACCTCCTTCTCCAGTTAAGTCTGGACTCCTGCAGGGCAGCCAGATGCAGAGAGGTACAGGGGAAAAAGGAATGGGGGAGTCAGAGTCACAAAAGAGAGAGGAGTGGAGATGAGACAGGAGGAGGGTGGTGGAGAAAGAGAACCCAGGGATAGAGAGAGGCCTGCCATTTCCCCAGGAATTGGTTGTGAGCTTCTTCCATTCCTTTTATTACTCTTTGCCTCATGCCCCTATAAAATCAGGTTTGTTTGAGAGGACAAGACTGGGTGTATACCCAAAGGGCTGGATTCCTCTAGTGAGAACAGGATGGTTCATGAAAGAAATGCAAGTGTTCAGGATAATCAAGGGTGGAAGGAAGCAATGTCCACTCCCTAAAACTGGAACCAGGAAGTGACAACAGCCTCAAGGGAAAAGAAAAAAATAATGTGGAAATCATTCTCTAATCTATTTGCAAATGTCTCTTGAACTCACTCAAGTAGAGAGCTGAACCATGAGTTTTCTGATAAGGGTATTGTGGCTGGTGAAACATTTTGGGGCTTCGTGACTTGGGCTATGTGCCTTAGGCAGAAAATGACACTAAAAAGATGCTTTGGAATTACAGTCCTTCCAGGTCTAGCTCTGACTTTATAAACACAGAATAAGAAAAAGAGAAAAAAATAGTAGAGGTATCATAGAGCCTTTTCTTCTTTTTCTTTCAAGTGATGATAATATGACACTTGAGAAAACTTTGCCAGCCCTTAAATATACCAGATAAACATGTCTAATAATTGGCATTCAAAATATCTCAACATCAGGAATGTACCAAGTTATGCAAAAATACACTGAGCCATTAGAGGGAAAAATAACATTGACTGTACATTTGCCATAAGCCAAACATTTTATAAGTATAATCACTTATTTTATGATTCTATGAGGCAGGTATTATTAATTCCAGCTTACAAATGAGAAAAACAAGCCAGACTGTGGTATAGCCATAAAACAAGATACTGTGTAAGGCAAATCCATGTGGGAAGGTTCCAAGTTCATGTCCAGAGACCTCCCTGATTATGTTGGGCATGTGCACGCTCATCCATGATCTGGGGCTGGCCAATGTTGGGGGAGGATTGTGGCATTAAGATCATATTGAGGGGTTCAGGGAAGCCGTGCTCTAAACTTCATTTCTAGACTCCCAAAATACTTAGACAAGAAGCCATTTTAAAGCTGAGGTGTGTCCTGGCCTGGTCAGGGAAGTCGTGATCTAACCTTCCTCTTCTAGACTCCCAAAATATTTAGACAATTGGAGGAGAAATTTTGTCCCAGAATGACCAGAAATCACTACAGAGGCACAAGAAACATGAGAAACCAAGAAAGGATCTCTCCCCTAAGGGAAAAGAATAATCCTTCATCATCCACAGACAGTACAATAGAACTCGTGGAATTGCCTGATAGAGAATTAAGAATATTCATAGTGACAAAACTAAACAAGATGCAAGAGCTGAGAGATAATGAACTCCAGAAGATGCAGGAGAAAAGAAACAATGAGTTCCAGGAGGTGTTGAGTTCTTCCATAATCTGAAAGTGGAAATACACACTATAAAAACAATCAAATGGAGCTACTAGAGATGAAGGCTTCCTCTCAGGAAATCAAAACCTCTCTCGAAAGCATTAAAAGTAGATAAGTCCATGCAGAAAATCAAATCTCAGATGTGGAAGACAAAACCTCTAATCTAGAAAAAACAACCAACCAACTAAACAAACAAACAAAAAAACCCAAAAACCTGAGAAAATAATCCAAAAAAAAAACTTTATGAGAAATACTAGACAGCATTAAGTGCCCAAACATCTGGATAATCAATATCCTAGAAGGTAAGGAAACTAATAAGGCCATTGATAATCTATTCCATGAAATCTTGGAAGAAAACTTTCCAAATCTAGAGAGGCATTCGAATAATCCAGATCTAAGAAATACAAAGGACTCCTAACAGAATCACCCAAAAAGATCTTCTCCAAGGCATATCATAACCAGACTGGCGAATCTACGGACAAAGATGAGATTCTAAAATTGGCAAGAGAGAAACGTAAGGTTACTTATAAAGGTTATCTAATCAGGGTAACCTCAGACCTCTCATCAGGAACAATGTGAGCAAGAAGGAATGGGAAAATATATTCAAAATGTTAAGTGAAAAACAATTTCAACCAAGAATACTATACCCAGCAAAATTATCTTTCATGTGGAAAGAAAGGATGAAAACATTCTCAGATAAACAAGGCCTGAAAGAATTTGCCAATAGCAGACCCACTCTTCAAGAAGTTCTGAAAGGAGTGCTCTACCAGGCAAACTAAAGACACATAAAGAAATAAGAGAATAAAAGGCAACCAATAAAATGGCCAATTTAATGCTAGGGACAAGAAATATCAATAACAACATTGAGTGTTACCTTCCAGGATTTAAATGGAAAGACTGGACCACAGTAACACTGCATATTCAGCAGAAGAGAGTTTGAACATAAAACTGAACTGGTAAAATGGAATTTTATGACTTTTATGTAAGATATTACTGATTTTTTTTAAAACTAGGCTTTGTTTTCCCAATTTAAGCATTTTACTTTCTTCTGAGTTGTAGACACATTTAGCAATTTGTTAAAATATATATATATTTTTAATGGAAACATAAACTTTTCTTCCTTTCCGACCTTTCTGGAATTGGAAAATATTTGGGAGTATTCTTATTTTGTGGCAGAAGGGTTATTTATATAAGTTCAATAATGCTTGTTGCATTGAATTGGAAATTGGAAATATTCATTATTGGATAGGGCTTTGACTGGAAT